AATTTAATTTGTTAATTATTTCAGGATATGATTGGTTGTGTGACGACACAATGGGTGGAGGAATCTTGGCATTGGTGGGCAGTCATGTTATAGATTTAATTTTTCATTTGATGGGTCAACGAGCTTCGAGAGTGCACGCTGTTGTGAGAACGTTTACCCAATCAACAAAGTATATTAATGGGATCAGGCATGTCACATCACCAGATTTCTGTAGCTTTCAAATGGAGTTAAGTGGTGGTACCTTGGTAACGGCTACTCTAAGCAATCATTTGCAAGGTCAGCTCTCCCAAGAGGTGCTGATATGTGGAGGTGGAAATCATCTGATTGTTCGAGGTGGAGATTTATATGGATGCCGTGGTGAACAAGAGGAAATTCTGTATCGTGATACGGATGACTTGCAAGGAATATCCTTACCAATTGTGGACTCCATACCCAGGCCTTATATCAAAGGACTTAGGAAGATGATTGCAGCACTAAGAGAAGCCTTTCAATCTGTGGAGGACAAAAGAGGATGGATTAAAGAACCGGTGTTCTCCGCTTCTACATTCGAAGATGGCCTGTATGTGCAAGCGGTTATTGATGCGCTGCGACAAAGTAACAAACAACGTGGATGGGCGAAAGTTAACATTCTGACAGAAGAGCCGGATCCGAATCCTTTGTTAAGCGCTGCTGTCAGAGCTACAGCCATCTCGATATAAGAGTCTGTTTTGCAAAAGCTTTTCATTGCTTATGAAAAACTTTGCTGTACTGCTATATATCCGATAGATATAAAAATTGTACTGATACGTTAATTGCGAGAAATAATATTTAAGGCAGCTATCATTAATTTTTATTTTTCTATCATTTAATTAGTTTGTGAGTACTTAGATAATCTTTTTGCACAGAAAAAACATTAATGTATAATTTAATTTATCTTTATTGTATATACATGTACCTATATATACCTATGTACGAAAATATTTATATTTATAAATACTGGTTGTGCTTAAAGAAATAAGTATATTGATTTATAAATGTATAATGTACAAAGATGAAAAATTAAAGATGTTATAGAAAAATAAAAATTACATAGTGCAAAATATTTTAACTATAACATCTTTATGTTTTTATGCTGTATATGTCTGATTAGTAATAAATATTTGTATTTTAATCATCTAATCATAAATTCATTTATGTTTGATATTTATAAATTATCTGATGTCTGAAATGAGTTCCTTCTGTCTATATTTTCTTACTCCATGATTGTATCTATCGAACATTTCCCGCGTAGTTAGCGTGAATTCGAAGATGGCAGGTGACGGTGTTGTCGTCGAAGATGAACCCATGGAAACTGATTATGAGATTTTACCGTCCACAAGCAACAATAATGTGAAAATCAAGGAAAAATATGGTAAATTTGGAAATTTACCATGGTACGTTTTATTTCTGTAACGGAATATTTTATTTCTTCGATTGCTGTATTATTCCTTGAGTTTAGGTTATCTTTTGTCTTTCTAGATCTTGCAATTTAATATAAAGTAACATATTTAAATCTGAATAGAGATGTTTGAAAAACATAATTAAACTCTAAAAGAATATTCTAATTCATTTTGAATTAGTATTTAGTTTATATGTTTGGACATTGAAAGCATAATAATAGATCTATTCTTTTTAGCTAAACTTCTTGCATGGTTTATCTTTTCTTTCTGTCTTTGAAGAAAAAAAGGAGATGAACTACAAGAAGTTCAGTTAAAAAAAAAGAATAGATCTAATATTTTATAGATAGCAGTATTGATTAGTTGCCTTCCTTCAGCTGTTATACTGTGAATGATATAAACATAAGAACATATCAATTATAATATTAGTAATTTATAATATCAGTAGGTATATAAATATAACAACATTATTAATTATTTAAATATGAGAATGTTATTATTAATTGTTTTCATTTAGGATTGAAAAATATCGGCCTCAAATCTTTTCCGATATTGTTGGTAATGAGGATACTGTATCAAGATTATCTGTTTTTGCTCAGCATGGAAATACTCCAAATATTATCATCGCTGGCCCACCTGGAGTGGGTAAAACTACCACGATTTTATGTTTGGCTCGTACTTTATTGGGACCAGCATTCAAAGAAGCTGTACTTGAACTAAATGCTTCGAATGAGAGAGGAATAGATGTAGTTAGAAATAAAATAAAAATGTTTGCTCAGAAAAAGGTAAAGATATTGTGTAAGATATTTTTTTAATTTATTAATTTTTAATATGATTGTTTTGAACTTGCAGGTGAATCTTCCAAAAGGAAAACATAAAATCATTATTTTAGATGAGGCTGACAGTATGACTGATGGTGCGCAACAAGCGTTACGTCGAACAATGGAAATTTACAGCCACACAACTAGATTTGCTCTAGCGTGCAACAATACAGAGGAGATTATTGAACCTATACAATCAAGATGTGCTATGTTAAGATATGGAAAGTTAACGGATGCTGAAGTCTTAGCCAAAGTTCTTGAAGTTTGCGAAAAAGAAAATGTAATTAAAATAATACAAACGGAAACTAATCTTCTCTTCTAACTTGACTTACAAAATTATTTATATCTGTTTTGCAGGTTTCTTATACAGATGACGGCATGGAAGCAATAATATTTACAGCTCAAGGTGATATGAGGCAAGCTCTAAATAATTTGCAATCTACATATAATGGATTTAATCATGTAAATGCAGAAAATGTATTTAAAGTCTGTGATGAACCTCATCCTTTGATTGTCAAAGATATGTTAGATGATTGCATAAAGGGAGATGTTTCTAAAGCATGCTCGGTAAAATATAAGTGTTTAAAGATAGTAATATATGTGCTTATTCAGATATACATATATTATATCAGATCTATCTATCTACAAGTTATATTTATTATATAGGTAATGGATCATTTCTGGAAAATGGGTTATTCTGCGGAAGACATAGTTAGTAACGTATTTAAAGTTTGTAAAAATCATACTATGGATGAGAGATTAAAATTGAAATTTGTTAAGGTAAAAATTGCATGCTTAATTTATGTTGATGTACAATATTATATTAATTTTTATACTTTTTATAAATATTTTTAATATTTGCAGGAAATTGGAATAACACATATGGGAGTAGTAGAAGGTATTAACAGTTTATTACAGTTACATGCTCTGGTGGCAAGACTTTGTCGCGCATGTATGTCGAAATAATTATGTAAAACGATTCTACCTCATTACCCTTTAATAAATATATTTTCTATATTTTTTTCTGTGTATTTTTTAAATTTATGAATTCTCTTTTAATATTCTGTCGGGTTTGAAAAAACCTCGACAAAATTATTTTTCTAGAAAATCTGTTTATTTGCGATATCAAAGTATAAACGCATGATACAGCTCGTAAATCTAAATAGTGTTGTATATGTTCAATATGTTAATGCGCAATTCGTTAAAAGTGACGACAAGACTAGCAAATTTAAAAAAGAAAATTTATTTCTACGCAATATTTATTAATTTTTGCCTTTATAACATAATGCTGTTACCAGGCGAGTATTTTTCAATACACATTGTGAAATATATTGTACTCAAAATTTTTTCTCTTATGATTATTTCAAGCATAAATCATTATAATAACTTTATACATTTATACACTTAATTATGTAGTAAAAATTACATTAAAAATTTAATTAACAAATAACATTAATTAATTTTATGAAATTGTAATAT